ATTTCCGAACACGGTCAGCCCGTTGTGGCCGTATTCAAAATTGATATTATTAAGAGTTGGCTAATTTTTTTTTATTGTTAATGCCTCCATTATTTTTTAATCCTTTTTTAAATGTGGATGAATAGCATTATGTTCGCATTTTCCCTCAAATATGTTGCCGACAGATTTGGTCTGTATTTTAATGGGTCCTAATCCTTGATAATGTATAACATGTTATCCGAAAGCGCACGGATCCACAGATCATTTAGACGGTTTTTACACACTATATATCCAGAAATAAATAATTATCAAATTAATAATCTCTTGTAGCATACTTCCGGACAATAATGGGTATGTCCCAATTCACATAAATACAGTAGTAAATACTGTATGTTGGTCTGCAGTTGGAGATTCGTCTTCAGCTGTGCTGGTCAAACTCTTTGCCTTTGAGCAGAGAGAATCCCCAGACAAAGCTATGTCGAAGGACAGAGTCGCTTCTCGGGAAACAGCTACCCGACTCCGTTTTATACGGGGTCTACCGCTAATTTTTCGCCGAGCCTACGTGCTCGGATACCCCACATTAAATTCAGCCTTGTGCCAGATCTGATCGCGTGGGGCGGTTGGTAGATATCCTGCAGTTGGAGATACATTATGGAATTAACTTGACTAACTTCTAGCAGTTTATCTATTTATTTGTTTATTTAACGGCAGTTGACTACTTCTACGCGCCGCTGGCGAATCTTATATGTGTTGTTCGTGTCTAAAGTATTATCGTTCATTATCAACCTGCGTGTGATCATTCTATTCAGTAACCTTTCCTAGGCTACAACACAATATTTAATTTAAAGGTCAATCACAGTGCTCCGTCAGTCATCTTCAATGAAACTTGTATAAAAGATGGATTGTTGCTCAAATACACCATTATATATACAGTGTAACCCGGATATAAGAGAGTTGTCGGGACCGGAGAAGAAGTCTCTTATATCCGGGTTTCTCTTATATCCGGGTTTGGTCTATTTTATATACATTAACACAGGCTCTAATTTGGGACCAGAGAAAATCTCTCTTATATCCGGGTTTCTCTTATATCCGGGTCTCTTATATCTGGGTTACACTGTATATATATATATATATATATTTTTTGTGTGTGTGTGTGTGTGTGTATTGTGGGTATCTAGGAAACAAATATTCATTCACGCAAGTTTTGTTAAACAAATCATATCATATTATACTTTTAAAGAATTTTCCTTTTGTTAGAGGATTAGTTCGTGTATCTTAGTGTTGAATTTGTAAAGAAAATTTGTAAAGATTCAGTGCGTTCGACTGGCTTCAGTCTTTATCAAGAAAGAAAAGAAATGAAACACAACTTAAAATCCACACATGATAATGCTTGGTCTACCTTCTGGCATACCAACTTCCAAAATCATGAAATAAATCAGTCTCTCACATATACCAACAACTTACAGCCATATCACGTTCCCATAGGTTCACCAAAGTTAAGCAATGTCGATCTTGATCAGTGCCTAGATGGGTAACCACTTGGTAATATCAAGTGATGTAATCTTAGACTTGCGGGTGCTGTGATGGATTATAGCTCCGAAATCTGGAGAGCCGAGTTCCAATTCCAGTCGAATTCATTATATCCATTCATGCACAAATACTTTTGGGAAGGGTATGAATCCATCTGTTTCTCCACTCCCCCGGCTATGGGTTAATTAGTACGACTTGTATCAGTAAATCACTAATATCTCTAAAAAGAAATTATCACGTTCTGAAAATATTTTTTGGCTTTAAATAAACGGCAAATTTTTGATAAGTCGTAAAATAATTACGACTTGATAAGCTATAAAAAACGAACCAAAAAATAAAATATATATATACCATATAAATCTTATGGTATAGTCTCATGGTTAGAATGCGAACGTTCTAACCAATAGGCCACGTGCCCATACTATATAAGCACATACCATATAAATATAGTAACAATTCCACAGATTCCGACTAAACTTACAGAAACAGCCACAAAAAATATTAACCAAACTAGATGTAGAAAAGCTGTTCTCAAATGTTCCTGCTAACGACATCATCTTAAATAATGCTTAAACATATTCGTCACCCCAACAGCTCGTTTATCTATTTATTTGTATATTTAACGGCATATCAATTCCTTATGGGTCATTTAATGCTGAAATTTAATTTTCTTTGGAGCTTTGAAGTAATAAAATGGTGATATATCATTCTACTTTCACAGGCGAATACATGGTTGATGATACTCAGATTTTGTGCATATTTATGCTTGCGTGGGCACAATTACTAGTGGCCGTGAGGTGTGTTTTATATTGTCGTTTTGTTGAAGTTATATTTTTGGAATACAGTTTAATTTAAGAAATTGGTAATTATATATATATATATATATATATTTATATTTATTTTACGAACTCAACCAGAGATGAAATGTATTGTTCGTCATTTTTATATATATATATATATATATATATATATATATATATATATATACAGAAAAATATACGGAAAAAAACAAACAAAAATTCTAATATGCAATTATGCTGTTTTAATGTTAATATAATGTCAACGTCGGACGTTTCGGGCTAGTAGACCATCTTCAGGACATATTCATAAAACATAATTAACATTAGACTATATTTAATTCAACATGAAAAGACGATGGACATAAGAGTAAGACTAATCAAAACAGACAACTGAAATTTTTCAAGATCAGCGTTCCGTTTCAATATGAACAGCACTTTCACCTGAAGACGGTTGCGAGACCAGACCAGAAACACGTGTCGTGAAATTATGTAAAACAAAGTATAATATTTTTTCTCAATAAATCCACATTACAACCAAAAACGTTTGCGGCACCCCTCTTCTTTTTAATATACATATTTTTCTCTCGTTGGAACCACTACAACATATTTCTTTTATGTATATATATATATATATATATATATATATATATATATATATATATAGTGGACTCTCCCATCGTATTCGACGTATGAGGGTCAAGCAGCTCATATGATTTGATTATAGCGGTGAAGGCTTTGTGCAGAATCATCCACACTCTTTGAAGGGACGAATACAGAGACCTAGTGCACTACGTGCCACAAGGTCCCCAAACGACCCTTCGCAGGTTTTGAATTCAGAGTTTTCCTTCTCCTAGACCAGTTGCCATCCAAGGCTATAGAACCCAGTCTGTCCTGCTATTTACCCATAGCTGGAGGGAGAAGAAGAGGATTCACACCTTTCCCAAGGGTATTAGCACGTAAGTGAATGTAATGGATTCGACTAGAATTCGAACTCGGCTCTCCTCAATTCCGCTAACTATTACTCCACCGTGCCTCCTCATTGAATTCAGATGCCTTAAATCATTGAAATGGTGCCAAGATGATTTGATTTCCATTTATTACTTTTCGGTTTATCTTTATCCTTAATTTATCATTTACACCTATTTTTTTTTTTCGTTTAAATCCGTTGGTGAGCGAAGAAGTGTTTAATTACCCAACGCGCGTAAATATATGAAACTTGCCGTAAGCAATGAATCGCCTCAACAGGATGATTGCAATGATTACGTCAATCGTATACAGGTCCAACATCTTCTTTAATCCGATCTTCTTTTAAAGCAGCCAACAATTTAATCGAAAACAGTTTATTTGCTTGTATAATTTGTTCATTTCTCTATCGATCCGCGAGATAAGTAATTTACGCTGGTCTTCTTTTTACTCCGACCGAAATATGATGATTCATTCACATTTACAGCTTTATTCGGTTTCCTTTAAAAAAAAGTTTAGTGATGTCAACGAACACTCGTTTGACATTTTTGTGATGCCAATAAATGCTCGTTGTCACTTTCGTAATGCTCGTCGTAGTAGAGACTTTGTAATCGTAGATACAACTATAGTAACGCTGTCAAACGCCTTCGAATAACGCTCGCACTAATATTACTTCCTCAATAATACTTGCCCGTAAAGTAACCACCGAATAGTGATCCGTATAGTGATCGCTTAGACGTCACGCTAATTCCTATGTATTACACACACACACACACACAAACACACACACACACATATGTATATTATATATATATATGTATATTATATATATTAGTAATGTTTCTGTTCCTGATTCTTCCACGCCGTTTAATCCTTTGTTTCTTAGTGACTTTACAGCGTTACTTTGTGATTCAAAAGAACACTAATTACCACTGTTGTAATGTCAACGAATACTTGTTGACACTTTCGTATTGCTCACGTACCATCGAAGCTCCCCATTGTAGTGTCAAAGATCTTTGACATTACAATGGGGAGCTTTGACTGTACAGAGACCTGCGAAATCATAGGTATATATTTACTACATGAACTAAGTGAAATAATAGATAAAAATGATACAGGACTCTACAGGGATGACGGTCTCATAATCTTAAGAAACTACAACAAACAAAACTCAGACAAAGTTAGAAAAACAATAATTTCAGGACATCCCAAATATATTTTTTATATTTCCTTTCTTCAGGATATAGACAATCATTACTCTCCATCGATTCTTCTTCTATGTACTGAGTATCTTCAGGGAGTTAGAGATCATGGCACTTCACAATTTCCTGTCTTTTCTAGTTCTCATGAAATCTTGTCCTTTTGCCATCTCTCCCAAACCCTGCTTCACCATTCATCTATTCAAGTTCGTTAGGTAGGTTATACTTTGTTTCTTCAGCCTCTCTTTGCCTTCGATCTGTCCTGTGAGTATCACACTTTATAAACACTCTCTCCTCATTATTTGCCCTAGAAATTTCAACTGGCTTTTCTTGACGTCAAGTATAAGTGCTCTTTTCGTTTCCATTATCCGGGGAGAGGGGAATAAAAATTGATAAGATCTTTCTTGTTGCTAGAATAATCAATTTTTATTCACACCACTGCAACAGGATAGAATCTGGAACAATTATAAAGATTCCATTTAAAAGCACTAAGAATCTACAGACACAATACTTATCGGAAGAAGACCGATTACCACCGCCACACGTCTGACGCGCGTCCGACGGCCGCGGCGATGACCACCACACGCTCGCAGAGGACAGCCTGAGCGATGGAGGAGCGTTGAATCGCGTGCAGGCTGCATCCTGCGAGCGCGTGGTGGTCGTCGCCGCGGATGTCGAACAGGCGTCGGACGCATAGCGGTGGTAAGCGGCCAGATGGAATGCTCGACTGCAGGATGACTCTGTCCGCGCTAGATAGGTTATACGTAGTTTGCTGTGCCTCTTGCCATCGATCTGTCCTGTAAGTATCTCATTTTATAAACATTCTCTCCTTATTATTTGCCATTGAAATTTCAACTGCTTTTCTTGATTTCAACTATAAGTGCTCTTTTCGTTTCCATTATCTGGGGAGAGGGGAATAAAAATTGATAAGGTCTTTCTTGTTGGTAGAGTAATCAATTTATATTCCCACCACTGAACCAGAATAAAATCTGAAATAATTATAAGGATTCTATTTAAGAGAGCTAAGAATCTACAGACCCAATACTTACTGAAAGAAGAAACATACATAGAAAACACTTTAAAAAAAAAAAACTCCATTTATTCTCATTAATGCTAAAAGAAAGGCATACCAAATATACAAAGACAAAAAGAGATAATAGCATTATTAACAACAATAACAATGACAACAAACTAGATAAAAACAGACATATAATATTACCTACCAACCCCTTAACATTTATTATCCAAAACAATTTATCTAATCTTAACAATATCAAAATAATTACAATCAAATCCAAAACTATCACGGATATGTTCAGAATCAAAATAGCCCATCAACATAATAATTTCGAACTAGGTATATATATAAAATAAACTTTCATAACTGCTATATATATATATATATATATATATATATATATATATATATATATATATATAAAAAAAAAACAGTAAGATATATAATCCGGTGTTCTTATAGATATTTTAACTTTTACAAAATAGTGCTCAATGTAAATTTACAGAGCATTAATATATATATATATATATATATATATATATATATATATATATAAAATATATAAAAAAGAAAGAACGGTAAGATATATAATCCGGTGTTCTTATAGATATTTTTATTTTTACAAAATAGTGCTCAATGTAAATTTACAGAGCATTAATATATATATATATATATATATATATATATATATATATATATATATATAGTTTGAATTTCAACCCACAGACAAAGCAACTGGAAACTATATATATATATATATATATATATATATATATATATATATATATATGAAGAGTCTGTGGAGAGTAATGACTGTCGGAAGAAAGAAGATGTTAAAAATATATTTGGGATGCCCTGAAATCGGAATCAGCGAGATGAATTCAAATTCATGCCGTCTCTTTTGCTTTCACTTTCGCACCAGTCTCATCAGGAAAGGCATGAATCCATTTGCTTTCTTCTAACCAGCTCTGCACTTAAATAGCTAAGAAAAACCAGGCCCTCTCGCAACCAGTCTAAGAGCGAAACAATTCTGAATTTCATTCCACTGAGAAAGCACCTGGAAACTACTCCAATATATTTCCCAACATGTCCTGACAATTCACAGATATTAATAAAAAGGAGAGTGTGGAGAGCCATGATCGCCTACATTCTTAAGGCAAATGCCATTTACAAAATATGTTGGATTATTTTATTTTTAGTTTAATTTCCAACTTTTCTCGTATTTCGTAATCAAAGTGGAAGATCAACAAGTGCCGCTATTTTAATTATGAAAATCCTAATTAATCATTATTGTATATCATTAATATTTTATGCTATCATTCTTGTTATTTAATCTAAAAAATATCAGGTGTCATCTTGAGAGAACATGGCAGAGAAAGGAAGACAAGGTGTTAATGTAATTTGTAATATAAAAGATATTATTTATTAATCAAGTACATTTCTTTTAATGATGACATCAAGAAGTGTTAAAAGCACTACGCATTCATCCATATTATCAAAGAAGAATCAGTTTTTAGGAAAGGGACTTAAGGACACTTTGCTGTTGCTGTTGTATTGTTTTCTAATAAAAGAAAATGGACATTTTCTTAAAATAAATACACCCTTTAAAATATACTCTATTTTCTAAAATTGTACATTTTTTATATTTTTATTAAAAAAAAGTTTAAATTGCTGTTTTTTAAGATAATAATTATATTAGATAAAAAGGTTGACTTAAATTATAAAGAGCAATTTAAATCAATTTTAAATGCAGATATATTTAAATTAAAATTATATGTAAAAAAATATACTTTTATTTATTAATTTTTAGCCATATGCAGTTTTTATTATAAGGCATCATTGTGTCTCGTCATTGGGTATTTGAATTAAAAATTCTGGTGTAATTTCGTTGATCAAACTTTAGTAGTATTACTAATCAGACACTAAAATAAGTAAAAGAAATTATTTAGTTGTGTTAAATAATATACAATCTTAGTGTATGTCCGAATAAAGTAAAAGATATAAAACGTAAAAAATGGAATATGTACTGATACAATAATCTCGACGTAATATACATCCGTTTTAAAAGGTATATGCAAACTAGCAGTAGAGCCCGGCGTTGCCCGGGGATGTAACAGTAAGAGATAGATCAAGTATCCACCATCATAAAGACTGAAAAATAAAATTGACAAAGATTATTGTTCAAGGTTGACGGACACGCATGTGTTAATTAGTTTTTTTTTTACGAATTGGTCAAACACAAACACAAACAAAAACATTGTTTTCAATCGTTATGAGTCTCTACCGATTGAATAGAATTTTATTATAAACAATTGTCTTGTAAATGGAATTTTTAAAGCATTCTGAATGTAAAAATAAAGAAAAAAGTGTGCAAGACAATAAGAAACACTACATGCCAAAAAAGTGAAGTTTTGTTGAAATCGGTTGAAAAATGTAGGAAATCCGATCCCATATATAAACGAACGAACACACACACACACACACACACACACACACACACACACACACACACACACACAAAACCAACCTAGGTCTTATAATAAGTATAACTCGATATGAGTTGTCACTCTTTCATTAATGCCTCTTAATCGTGTTTTCAAATTGATTTCGTGCAAAAACAATTGTGTTTTTCCAAATTTTGGCGCTGTCAGAACAACCGCAAGGTAATTTTACGTAGTCCTGTGAAGTTTTGTTGAAATCGGTTGAAAAATGTAGGAAATCCGATCCAATATATAAACGAACAGACACACACACAACCTGGGTTTTATAATAAGTATGATTAAAGTTGACTTAAAATTTCGATCAATGCTAAAGTATAAAAGGTTGCAATTTTCGTTTATAGAACTTTGACTGAGAAATGGTAACTACAAATCGTTCCATTCGTACCTTTTCATATCCAGAATGACCCAGCAAATGGAAAAAAATGTGGCATCATTTTTTATTTTTAGTTTTTAATCACATTCACGCCAAGTAAGTGTTATATAGGAAAAAAGTGTCGCTGCCGACACTTGAGTTTGAACATAGATCGCCAGTGAACAAACACAGGTGATTCCTTTATTGAATAAAGTGGATCACGTGACCATAGAGGAAACGCATAAACAGAAAATATCGTGACGACTAACGATCGTTATTTCTAGTCTATCCTCTATACTATACGGATCGTTATTTCTGTTCTTTCCTCTATTAATATACGGATCATTTGTTCTAGTCTATCTTCTATTACGATACGGTTCGCTAGTCTCTATACTATTCCCTATTTCTACACTATTCACTATATGATTACTATTTGGTGGTTACTGTTCGAACGAGTATTATCGAGCAAGTACTATTAGTGCGAGTGTTATTCGAAGGCATTTGACACCAGTATTGTTCAGCGGCGTTACTAGAGTTGTATCTTCGATTACAAGGTTTCTACTACAACGAGCATTACGAAAATGACCACGAGTATTCGTCGGCATTACACAAGTCGCAACAAGTGTTCTTTTGAGTCGTAAAAGTAAGGCCGTAAAGTCACTAAGAAACAAGGGATTAATAGATGTGTAAGAATTAGGAACAGATACATTACTAATGAGCGGGGACAACAGAAGAGTAATCAGGATGACAGTAGATAGCGATTGACATTACATTTAAACTTTTGAAGATCAAAGTTGGCTGGAAAGCATGAAGTTCTACAAGCGAGAAAAGAAATTGTTAGTATAGAACTTACGGTTACGTCTAACTAACTCAACCGTGAATTGATCGGACCTTATTGCCATTTTAGTATTGAGCTTAAATACATAAAGTTAAGGTAACAGCGTAGAGCTCACCCGAATAATTACAATTAAAATGTTCATAGAAAAGGCACAGGGAGGCAACTTTATGGCGGTGGGAAAGAAGCTGAATTTGTTAACTGGGGCGAGAAATGGATTCATTAACGCCTCCAAAACTAAACTGTTGTCTTTTAATTGTCTTAAATAACATTTTTTTATCCTTCCATTAGAATGGCCGGTGCTAACTAATAGGAGGATAACACATTCTGGGTCTAACATTTTCCTCTGATATAAATTGGAATGATTGGAATTGCTAAGTCTGTTTTTAAGAAAGTTGGCTCACTGTGTCGTGCAAGATATTTTTTTGTCTGTTTTGAATGTTTACAAATTTACCATTCCTATATGCATTCAGTTGCTACATCTGCTCAGGTACTTCCTCTATTTATCTTGAGATTATGGAAATTATCAAAAGAAGTATTTGCAATGTTATTTTTCTCAACCTGGTCTCTTGGTTTCAATCTCTGTCCCACCGTCGTAACGTAGCTTCCTTCCGCCTACCCCACAAATATTCTTATCCTTCTGATGAGATTTCCTCTTTAGTATATGAATTTAAGCGCGGTGATAGATTTATAGCTCCGTCTCATCATTTTGGAGTTGAAATTGCTAAATAGAAAAGTAAGTTCTATTCTACTAGTTTCGAACTTCTCGCTTTTGGAATTCATTTCCAGTTTCTAGTTTTCCTTCCAACGGCAATTTACAAAACACTTAAATCCATCTTCTGTCTCTTGAAACATTTTCTTTTATAGTCTTTGTCTTCAACCACGTTTCTTTTACTCTGTTATAATTTCTCCTGAGTAGCCCCTCCCCTGAGTCTTATTGGTTTTATCGCTTTGCTTGGTGTGACATAATTGAGAAAAAAAGAACGAAAATAAAAAGTCGTCAACGGCTAAAAATAACAGCATTTTTAGAAATGTTGAGACACGCGATAGAATTCGGACACTCACCTTTCTGTAAACGTCATCTGAGCAAGTTGCTTAGTGCTTATCCAAAGGACATAGATAACCTTAGAGTAGCAGAAACTCATGACAGTTGTCGGAAGGGCAAACATGACAAGAAACTGGTAGATGCAGTAGACGAGTCTCTCGGAAGCAGATACAGCCGAGTCGGCACAGAAGGTGACCACTACTTCCGTGTCGTTGTTGTAAAAAACGTGCGACTCTGTGTTCTGGGAAAGAGAAATCGACAGATTAAGTAGTGGAAGAACAAAAACAAGATCATCTCTGGAAATATATTCAATAATTGTGAAACAATTGAATAAAAACAAAGTTAGACAACACAAAGATACATTTAATGATAATTCCACCAAAAAACTCACAACATGGCACACTGGAGCTTTAGCCATTTTGATACTAGGATTCGTCCAATTTCCAGGTTTGAGAGCTACTCAAGGTAGATGATTACCAGTCTAAGAGAAGGAAAAATCTGAATTTCACACT